TCGGAAAATGCAGTACATGGGCGGCCGTTTGTGAGGCACAATTCTGCCCTTCGACAGTGGAAAGCGCGAGCGAATGCATTGTAATGTACAGGTTCCGGAGAATTACTATCAGATTCCACAAGGTTACCTAGTCCGATATTGGGATATCACGCTCTTTGGTGAAGCGTTGGATACTGCATCATCCAGCTAAAGAGCACTGTCCTCCGCAGCTGATGAAAGAGAAGTCTACGATGCTGAGTCAACAAATGCACACAAGTAACCTTTGCTTGCGAGACAGAATTGCTCGCCGCCACGAAATGGAACAAAAGCAATGCCTATGTCATCTTTCCCGCATATTGCACAGTGCACCACCCAGCTTAATTCCTATCTGACTCTGACGTTGAAAAAATTCATAGCATAAGTCTTTCACAGTCATTTGGCTATCGGCTCGCAGGACTAGTAGGTTTGGAACGAGCAGGCAACTACAATAGAACGTCTAATGGCTCCGACCACTGAGTTGCATACTTGGCATTTACCTGCCATACAAAATTGCCACTATTTCTTCCCTTTCAAGCCGGAGCCTTTACTCGAAGCGCAGGGAACAGCTTTTCAAATGTCATCTAGATAATCTGCAAAGTACCTTGCCGCAACAAGTTCCGGACGTCTATGATCGATGGTCATGGCCATGATCGTGGTCAAAGCCAGCCACAGTTGTCTCAGCACTCTGGCGGTAGAAAGAGGGCTTTTGATAGGCACTGCTGCACCGAACGTTGTACAATTCACATCCGAGTCTCCGCCCACCAACGTGCATGCCGCAAGCTGAATTTTGCCTGGAACTTAGGAAGTACCTACCAAGCTAAGCGAATGTCGAGTTCTCTGAGACACTATGTGGAGGATGGAGCAGAGTTAAGCCGTCGGATGAACAGTGGTCGGCTCAAGTGATGCATGCTCCGGCTGTGGCGACACCAAAGAATGCCCGATGCAAAGTATCTGTCTCCTACAGCGGGCAACACCCCACGTAGTACCAGCTGGGACACAAGTCTTGATCCATCCTTGACGAAAACCTGAAGGACCATGCTCTACGGGAGTCGTGCATCAAAAGTTATCAATGTACGCTAACCAGGATCAGTAAGAGCTAGCCTTTCCTGTACCAGCGTATTATCAGTACGTGATAGGGGTGTAGACGTGGTCAGAGGGTGGCTGAAGCTAACTGGCATAGGCCTGTAAGCCACGTCAGATGGCATAACGAGGACCCTATGAGTCTCTAGCAGAAGAAGGTCGTGGCAGCAGCTCTAAGGTTTCACCCTTATAGCACAATTTTTACATGGCGTTAAAAGCTGGGCTAGTGGCACTCTATTTTAGCGTACATCGATGACTTTTGACGCACGACTCCGTACACGTACTACGTACTCGACTATCCATCAACCTTCCCAATCGCTGTTTGATAGACAGGGGCTGTAAAGCTTAGCTGCGCCTCCGAGCCCAGGCTTCCAGACCCTGCCAAGCAGGAATGTCTCTTCGCAGCTTGAAGAGAGAAGGCAAAAGACAAGATCTATTTTCGGATTCTCCATTGAATAACTGACCTGCTTGTCTCATGCCACGGCCTTAAACATTATCTCTGATCCCCCCGTGTCTCGACTGTTCTGCGCATGTGTTCAGAAGAAGCCGAAGCCAAAGGATCTCGGCTCAAATACGAGCCATCATCCTTGCCTATGCATGAAATGAATCCGGCCAGGCATGGTCATGCTCTGAAAGTCCCGCGCTCTGAGTTCATGGACCCTTAATTTGAAAAGACCAAATCCTGGTCGAACTTTTCTCAGACCGAACTGCGCGTCCTTAGCAATATTTTGTTCCTTCGAAGACGTTTGACATCCTTGCTGCTGGCATGCGGGGCATGTCCGCCGAAGCCAATCGACTGCAGTCCTCCGGTTCCGCTCCTTAGGACGAAGGCGCTCTTTTCGGTCATGTCAAACGTCAGAAGGTGTCAACCATGCGCAGCTGCTTTCCCCGGACTTCATTACTGTCTCTGCTCATCAAGCGACTTTTCTCCTCACACATAGACTCCCTATCCATGGGACCACGAAAAACAGGAACGCCAACGATAATATGTGCTCATGAAATTCTCTGTCCCTGGATTTCAAAGTGCCGTATTCTCCGTGGTAGGTTGTGGCAGTCGCTATCACGGGTTTCAGACGATTGCTGCTACTTCGAAGTGGGCATGTTAGGGAAGAATATGTCGTTGAAGTAAATGCCATATTTCCATCCCACTTGCGATCGATTCTATCATCTTTGAGTATTTCAGCAAGACTACCTAGCCTCGCAGTTAGCAGTCCCTTCTTCTTGTAAGGGGGATTGGCGTGACGACCTTCGGTGTTATCATGCCCTTTAAGATGATTTCTATTGGACGTCTTATTGACTTCTACTCCCATTGTCCCGCAAGATATTGAGCTTCCATCATTCCGTTACCCTCTGCGATATTCCTTCGCTGGCTGGCTGACCTGGGGGGTTTCCTTATAACTAAGTGCCAGTTCTACATCCCTGAAAGCCGATAGCAGTGAGCTTGAAGTCCTGTATTATCACATTCATTCGTCCCGAATACTCGCCAGCTTTGTTACTTCAGATGTACCTCACAAAACTTTTACGCCTTCTACGCTGTGGTATGGTCCCGAAGCTCGGCAAACAGAATAGCTGTCAAGAAAGACCCCAGGCGAATATAACGTAGCTAGCCTTCCAGATATACCTTCCGCTTTCTCTTATCTTGTCCATTGAATTCGTTCTCATCTGAGATTTCAAGGTGAGAGCCTATACAGGAATGCATCAGGATTTGCATATAAACGTCCCATCTTGGGAAGACGTCGTTCTTCTGGAAATGAACACAGGCTCTCCAAAGAGCGAAAGCTCAATTGCCTTCAAAGTTCAGCTTTGACGTTGCGAAAACTTCTTACTCGATTAACTTATTCTTGCTATGGGCCAACACACTTAACACGATAGGGCTCTAGGAAATTTCGGCCTCGACCGACTTCCAGTGTTAACTTATCTCCACCGTATCCGAGTTTACTGGTTTACGAAGTTGTTTCAATATCCTCGAAATCTAAGCACCAATAGTACCATCACTATTCAGTCTCACCCCCCACAATCCCAATTGTGCTTTCTCCTTTCTCCATCCAACATCACCATTTCAAAAGGGCCCTCATTTCAACATGGAACTCCGTTCTCCTAAAGTTAGATCATGGCCAAACCATCTTCGTGGAAGGGACAGCTCAGCCTCGATGGAAAAGAAGTCAAGCAAAGTCAATTTCATGTCACTACCTACCAGACTTCATCCCTACATTCTAGCTATGGTCAACCCTTGCATTCTCATCTCACTGACCTATGCCAACCAATGTTTCTATGGTCTGAAGGAAGTTGAGTTGCGTCAAATCGCTCGCATAGCTCAAGACTGGCGCAGCAAGTTGTCTTGGATCAGATCCCGGAATAAGGCCAGCGAAGATTGTGCTAAATGTCATAGATATGTGACCATGGGCGATGTGCGCGGCCCCTCGCCGCTTGGCCCGGATATGAAGAGCCCGCTGCTTCCTCGATCTCTTCCGTCAGCACGTCTTTTTTGTCTTTTCACATGGCCGACTTACTTGTGCACCAGCCCCCCATCCCACCACTTTTAGAGCCGATACCTCCGTTCCTACCACATTCTCAAGCTATTAACTTCAGCTCGCCGCTATTCAACGAACATCCTGTTGGCAATTGGCTGTACGTGTAGAGCCAAAATCTTTATCTCAGTAGCACGTGATTCTTAGAGTCACGTGACCGCCTGCGCGCCTCAGTAGATCAGCCTGCTCCTCCTTAGATAGATTCTGCAGAGTACTCCGTAGGTAGAATTCAGTTCATCCAACTCATCACATCCCATCTCAGGGCAGTAAGCTTTAAACATCCCTAAAAATCCTTGGTGTTCTTCTCGCCAAGGCTGCAGCAAAATTCATCATGCGGAATCGCGGAGAATACTAAGTACTACTTAATGCCGGAAACAGGTTAAGATGTCGAAACGAAGAAGAGAGATAGGACATCAATCACTTTCCACTTTTTAAGAAAAGAGTTCTCTTCCATTCAATAGTGTAGCACGGCTTCTCCAGTGGTAGGGCCACTAGGTTTTAGGGGCACATTGTTACCTGGGATTTTTTAGTGATGCAAGCTTTCATGATGGTAGCGATTGAGGAGGAGAGTTGTTTGGATGTCTGCTTATGGATTGATGGACAGGCTATGATGAGAGCTGCGGCGGGTTCTGGTCTTGGTTCTGTTCCTGCTCTCGATGCTCCTGCCGCTTGTTCCTTCGGTCGCGGCTCCTGCGGCGGCTCCTGTTGCGGGTCCTCTTGCTCCTTGCCGCTTGCTTAGCAACTCTCAGCACCACGTCCGTCATAATAAATTTCACATATGCCCTCCTCTGGATCGGGCCTCATCTGCTTGCGTCTCCTGACTTCTTGAGCATCTGAGTAACTGCCGGTTGGAAGGAAGGAAATGAAGAAGAAATCTGCTAGCGACGGCGGATGCCCCATTTCTCTCTGATGCTGTCTGAGCGTTTTGATTCAAGGTCCTGGTCCTGATCTGTTGGGGGAGAAAGGAGGGTGTCCTCGTCTCGCATTTTACCGTTGATTTAGATTCGTGTGGAGAATGTATTGGGTAAACTTGGTCGCTCGGACGGGGTGGGTATACATCAAACTCCCAATCCATAGACCACTTTTGTTCAATGTCATTCCATATTAGAACAACCAATTGATCCTCCAGAATAGACTGCGTCGGCATTGCATTCCGGTGCATGAAAGGCTGGAGCTCTACCTCGATCGCGAGATTCATTGTATTACCACCATGCGTCCAATACATATGGAAGGACATCCTCTTCTGTATATCTTGTCGTTCAGTCACAACTAGACCAGCAAACTGCGAGCCTGACGTTTTGAATGTGATGGTCCTGATTGCTTCAGGAAAGCTAATGCACAATCCGATGACGAGTCCCTAAGGTTCGATATTCTCTAATCCAATTCTTGCCGTCGCTTCAATCCGTAGATTTTTGGGTTTGTTTTTTTAGCGATGGCGTGGTTGGCAAGGGCGTCGAAGTATTCCCATGTTGTCCCATCTTGCGCCAACTCCCTAAGAAATGTGGGCAGATCCCAGTAATTTTCTTGCTGGACTAGCTATGATGAGTTTGTGGTCCTTTGAAGTCCGCTTGGCCAGCACTTACTTGTTCTCCAATACCTATGTGAGGATACCGAAGCGGTCCACTCCGGAATACTGCTGCAGCATTAGTGTCCAGGGTGAGATGTAAACAGTCAATGAGACCTTACCTGGAGGCCAACAGACCATTACCGCCCTGGGTCTCGAGGGTCATACGGCTTGATTCAGCTGTCTGATTCATTTTTTCAACAGCGCTCGATCCTGTCTTTCTGTGATAACCGCTTTGGATTCCCGCGCTCGCTGCGGTCACTTTCGTCGTAAGATCAGTTTCCAGAGTTTTTCTAGCCTCTGAAATATTGGAAATGTTGTCCGTATTCAACTCCTGCGTAGTACACAGACGCGCTCCAAGCGTTACCCTGGCGGGAAGGATTGAGCCTTCCACTTATCAGCATAGGATTTGAACGGGTTGAGCATAGGCTGGAATACCAAATCGATCAATAAAAGTCTTGTAGGTGTCTGAGATTTTGTTCGGATCTAGACAGTCCTGCCCGTAGCGCTTCAAGAACTGTTTGCACTGCGGTGAGAGGTCTAAGTAGTCGGGGTCGAGATGCAGGATCACGCGTGGGAACTGGACCTCGATGAGCTACCGATATATACGTGAGTTGCAACTGTGTGCACCACATACATTATAGAAGCCATGGATTGCCCTGTTCGAAGTCTGCTGCTGGTCCAAACCAATCCCTTCTTTCTGCCAGCTGACTGCGCCACTCAGACCAAATCCAATATCTGGAGCACCACCTGACCTGACAAGGGATCAGTAGCAACAGTGCTTGAAGACTTCTTGGCTTACAGTCCTGCTCGGATTCCATTCTCTGAGAAAGCTTTCAACGTCAATTCCCGTTCTAGTCGGCTCCTTGATTCTCTCGAGTCAACGTAAGTGTCATCAGCAATCTCAAATTCCGGCAGGCCTTGACTGCCCTCATGGTCGTCTGGAGATCTTGACTTCAAAGATAAAGCTTTCTAAAGCTGTCAGCTTTATCCCCTCTCTCGCAAAATACGGAGAACCTACCAGCGCAGGGTGCTCGGTTGACATGTATCGTGTCACCCTCAGAACGCCTTTTCCAAGCTTTTAGTACGGATGAAGCGCTTCTGTCTCTTTTTAGCGCGATCGTTGAAGCCGTACAGGGATCTTACAGGACTTGTATCCATTGGTCCCTGGTCAAGTCTGAAGCGTCGATGAATTCTTGACTTTCTGTTGTTTCAATCGTGGGAATGCCGCTTAAGTTACGACTCAAAATCGTCATCGCGTTCTCTGTGACATTACTTGGAACAACGGCGACAATCGTTGACCGGGCTTTATTTTCATTATTGGGAGCTGATGCTAACTCCTGGCTATCCATCTTAGTGGCGCACATCGTTGCACCTTTCCGTTGGTTCCAGACGGAGTAAAAGTGTCGCTTATTGTGTTACTCCGTTGAGCTCACAAGCTGTCCAAATTTTGGGTGCGTGGGTGACCTGAGTTTAGCTAAACTCCCACGAGGCTGGACTACAACGTGCAGCAATGCCCAGGCCGTTATGCGAATGTCGAGGAAAATCAGGTTGGGGCAAGGCTGTAGTCAGGCTGAGAGATTGGCCAGCCTGCTGGGATCATTCTTCCCCTCCTTTCTGCCTCTTTGGACAGTCTAAACTGCCGACTTCCTGAGCGTGATCGATAACGGACGAAAGTATCCCTTGATTGGCGGTTTATCCGACCAAATTGGCAAAGTTGCGCTGTCCTATTTTCATCGCGATATGAATCATGATGGGTACGCAGCAGGAGTCCTGTCGGCTACACAAACGGCCTCAAGATATTGGAACACGAAGAATTACCTTCTAATAGACCAAGTGTGGAAGTACTTCAAGCAATCGAATAACGATTAGAACATCTGATTGATATCAGACTTCTAATCTGTCCTCTGAGGCCCAGCTGAACTCCCGTTCAAGCTTAGTGACAAGCACCGTCCCAAGATATCCGGGAGGATGTGGGGAACGGTCCGAAGGTCTGGGATTTCAGCATGATGACAGCACCAAGTATCCAATCAAAATATGCTCTTCAAATAAACCAGACTAATAGTGTGTTGTGCGTTCTAAATGTTGAACTTGAAATATCCCTGCGTACAGGTAAGGCGCTCTATCGAGCCTGTCTCTCTTCGGATATCCACATCCTTGATATATCCTACGCCCGCGGCCACGCCAACGGCCTCGCTGATGCCGTACGCCACCGCCGCCATCGCCATCGCCACCTGGTAGCCACCCGTAGCGTGCGGCGTTCCCTGCGATCACGTGCCTACCTGCGCGCACCCCAAGCCTGCGCCTCACCAAAGGAGAACAGGTAGGCGTAGACCTTCCTGCTTTCTCCATCGTTCGATCTATTGAACGGGGAGAGTATCCTCTTGCCGCCATGATTGGTAAGCTCTGCGCGTACTAGACGCCTGCGCCTTCCTGCTAGATTGCTAAGTCGCTCAGTTACCCTCTTTCCCTGACAAGCATACTTCTCTTTTCACATGGTATTGATCCAATACCTATTTCAAAAAGGTCACCATATCCTCTTTGGAGCAGTGCTGGGCGAATGCATGAACTGCATGCTAAAAGACTATTTCCAGGAAGCCAAATCTGCCCAAATATATCAATCTGGGTAAAACTGCGGCTTTTATTTCCATGCGGATTTGCATGAGGTGTAGTAGACCTGATCCTAGCGATGAGCGGACCATGACCTTCCACAACAGGCCTTGAGAACGAGTAGGAAGCTTCGGCCCCAGCTGGATTGCTGGCTTTCTTGTGAGGTATGCGAGATAGCGATCCATGTCGGAAGGACAGTCTTGGTAGTAAGAGCGTTTTTCAGGCGATGGAGGTCCTTATTGGCGCTTGAAAGAGTCGATGTTATGATTGCTAGAGGGAGAGCCAGGAGAAATAGGATAGGCTGAGGAAGTACCTTGGCCTACAATACATGTAAGGCGTGGTGTAGATCATGCTGGTAAGGATTGAAAAGACTGGAATCGGCATGTATGAAAAGGGCCAAACCTGGCGACTCATCGTGCCAGCTGAACGTAAACGTAGGACATTGCAACAGTAAGTATGGGTAAGACTGTAGTCAGATCGGCCACCTCACTGTCCCATTATCGGTCCACCAGCACGCCCTCGTTGCGAAGCCTGAGTACCTTCATTATCTCAAATCTCCTTTCGAGAGTGTACGATTTCTGACTCTGCGTCCGCAGTTTTCTGTGGCCATGTCTCGAACCAAGCCGAGGCTTTTTCGTTCTCACTTGCTCCGCCGCCGCCGGCGGTCTGGAAGTCCTTGATTCCTTGCCCCTGGTTCCGTTTCGAGTGGCTTTGCCAGCCTCATAGCTCCGAGTGAATAACCCGACGTCCTCTTCGAGCGTCCCATTCACTGTAGACCCTCAACAGTCTTGTGTAAGGTCTGTACCCTCACGTCCAGAGTGCCAAGGTCGCACCCCCTTTCTGGCATAATACCGTGGCAGGAGCTTCCTGACTTCACTCCTTCCCAGAGTGTTGAACATACACCAGCACGGAACGTCCTTCAATTTCGGCCCCATCCCGCATCCCGCAAAACACATCCAGGTGGTGATCGACGTGTAGACAGCAAGGACTTCACTGCCCGCTTGCGGCTAGCGCGAAAGTAGACAAGTAAACACTGGCGGGATCAATTGCTGGTGCCGGGACATTTAAATATTGTGCAATATCATCGAATGTCCCCTTTCCTTCTTCCTCCTCCACCTTTTCCCACGCTCAAGCCAACAGTGACACACCTCCTCCATGACTTTGTGATGACGCATATGTAAGGTCCACGGTTCATCAGGTTCAGTCAAACCCCCCCGTATTTGGTGCTCCATTAGCCAGTGCGGACCCTGAGTCCAGTATTCGAAGCTTCCTTGGAGTCTCAGATCAATCTCACTTTCAATCCACCGGAAGCCCAATACCGTCGACGTAATTCCAGCTATCTGCCAACACTCTCAGGGGTGACAAGGTAGGCGCTCAAAGTTCCAAGAACCAAGTCGTAAGTGTTGCCAGTCTCGACCTCGAGTGACCATCGCCGTCTAACCAGCATCGCCACACAGACCTCTTGTCAAAGCGAAGCCAACTTCGGCAAAAGCCGTGGAAGCAATATCACTTCAAACTTCAGCAATAAACCCAACCTCAACGTCAATAACATCAAACCACCAGCAACCATGTCGCTCATGTCGCTGCCAACCGAGATCCACTACCACCTTCAAGAGTTCCTCGACCATCCGAGCCTGCTCTTCCTCTCAGCCACGAACAAATACTTCGAGAGTCTCTCTCCAAAGAAGAAAGTCAAGGATTCTCTTATAACTTTCGAGGAATGCTCACTCTTTGTGCCTACCGTCTTGACGAAGAACCAGCTCTTGCCATGCTACATCTGCCTGAAGGGGTTGCCTGCACGTGACCACTTTCCCCCATTGCCCGGTGACAAAGATGACGAGCTTGGTAACAAGAATATGGGCATTAGAGCCTGTGCCACCTGCATGATTGCCACTAAACCCGACTGTATTTCCACCTATGGAATCCAGCAAAGCGACGACTATGCTTTCACTAGTGGTCAGTACGCCGGGCCCGGAAAGTGTAAGCTGTATTCTTCACGATATGGTACTCTACGTCGCCAAACACAGGATTGGCTTCATTGCCCGAAGTGTCACTTTATCAAGCGGTACAAGAGCTCTCCGTGGGGTAGACGTCGAAAGATTGACGAGGCCATGTTGAATGGTGACATGTGCCCTCAATGCTACCAGCCGGTATGGGACCAGGAGAACGAGGAGAAACGCTTGAGACGGAACGCGCGTGGGAGGGAGCGACGTCGTGAGAACAAGTTGCAAGCTGAGAGAATGAAAGAGGCTGAGCGCAAGCGTCAGCAGGCAAAGAACTCGGGCACAGCTGCAAATGCGATGACGCCGACGACCGCCGTAGCAGTGACGCCAATAACTTCAGCGGGAACGGTGATGAACACTCAGAAGCCACTCTCATCACGAGTTTCAATGCCTGCACCGCTGCAAATTCCCCTATCAACCTACATGCCTCCGCTCCTCATAGACGGTACGCCCTTGACGGACCAAGAGATAGACTCGGGCTTTACGGACCAACTCGAAGACGTCGTCTCGGGCAGCTTTGACAATCTCTGGAACGCTTCCTGGGCCGGTTCTTCGTCCGATCATCAACCAATAGGTTGGTGAGCGTGCGTAGCAGCAGCAGCAGCAGCAGCAGCAGCAGCAACATGACCCGCAACATTAGCAAGCCAGCAAACTTCACGGTCTCGAGCAAGGACTTTCAAAAGATAGTGGATGCACAAACGCGGTGACTGAAAGCTGCCGCACACGCAGGAACTTTGACGACAAGGACGATCATCGTGCTCATCACAGGTGAAGCGAAATAGTTAGTCTGCATCATAGCTGTCGATAAATCAGCATAGCAGATCCATCAAAGCTTGACCAGCATCTTATTGACATTTTGTGCCATTTTGAATTGTGAGTCGTAGACTTACCATGCATAGCCCAGGTCAACGAGGAGCAACAATCATTTCCTGCTGGCTTCCAATAGCTTCGAACAGAGTGAAAGGATGGACGTAGATAGACTGTGGGCACATGTATAAGTCGGCTGGGCCCGAACAGCCAGACCCCTATACCGTGCTTGCTGGCGTTGGAGATATATTATTGACCGTCTAGAATAGGCAATCATCATTGTTGGGAGGACCCATATCAGCCATATTGAGACTTCCAAGCTCTCATTTGTCTCGCTGATATATCGCTCCAAAGGACATACCATGATGTTTAACAACATCAAGCTATTAGCGCAAAGCATCAACCATTCGGTAAGCAACGCATGATCGTTGCTGGAGTCACCCATCCCATGACGACCGCTAAAGACGGGATGAATAGGCATGACATCCAGGCAGTAACATCGGAGCATTTTGAACCTTGCCAAAGACAATCAGCCATCAAATGCATGTCTGCTAGGAGGATGCACAGGCCTAGCTGACGCCAAATACCGGTTAGTACGGACGTTGCCCGCGGCTCACGCTCATTCGTGTACATGGATGGAGTATTCGTCTGAACATGCTAGCTTCTTCTTCATTGCGCTTTCGAGCTCAGGAAGGTTGCGCTGTATATCTTCGCATCAGGTGACAAGCTTGCATTCACAGATGAGGCACTGACTGCTCTACAAGGCAAGACAAGGTCGTTCGGCTAGCATTGATTGACTGGTGGAGGATCTTTGACGAACATGATCTGGGTCGAAGAGCCGCTAATTATGCTGTGTCGAGCGTCAGGGTCTCGTTAATGTCACGGACGCCTGCTGCTTATCGATTGGATCCTCTTCGTTCGGTCTCTATGCGAATTCAACCCCTTTCTTCGGCGAGAGGCGATAGAGTACTGTAGAAAGCATAGAGATTCGGCATACACCATGTCTTTACCCTATCCTTCCAGTAGAAAGAGCTATAACGTGTGCTCCTCTCCAGCCACTTGGCGAAGGTAGAGCTTTTCTTCTGAAAGAATACACCCAAATAGGTGCTATCAAATTCGATTTCTAAGCGTCCACTCGAATACTGTAAGCCATGTTCCTTCTCTGTTCTTGAGCAAGTTTGACAGTGATTGAAATCAATCCTATCAAGGAATTTCAAGAGGCGTTCCCGCAGCTCCTTTGACATATCCTTCGGGAAATTTAGCAGGTCCAAATCTGGCGTCCAAGAACTTTCGAGTCGAAGGCGTCGCATATAAATCTCGCTTGGTGACTGTGTGCCATCCTCATGCGAAATTGAGCCTGTCGATTATGGTATCGTCCTCCTGCTGTTCATAATCTTCGTGATATAAAGGGGCCTTTCCATATCCCCATGTTCGACATCGAGTCTCGTCCCAGAAGGCATTACCTCAATCACGAAACCATTCATCCTTCTCCCGGAGGTACTCGTCACGCTTTTTGTGCATCCATGTCCAACAAAAAGATGGACCAATCTCATCATATTGGTGAATTCGAAAGGCCTCCTCACGACTGAGAGCACAATGACCCGTGCATGTGACCTTGGAATATCCCCATCCGGTCACTTTAGCCAGGTTGATGAGGCCCTGCAGTGCTCTATCTTGAGTATGTGCTGGTAACTGTGCTCGAAGATGGCATTGACAATCCGTGTGCTCTCCACGAAAGTTGTGGTCAATAACGATCGAATGCCAAAGACGCCCAGTCCAGGCTGCGATACAATTATGCATCCGGCACAATGAAATGAGCAGTGGTTCGCAATCATTGGTTGGTCACTGGGGCAGTTGTCGGTGAGGTTTGATGCTCTCTTCAAAGTCTTCTATCATTAGCGCCCCGTAGGAAAACGGCGGTGAAAACGCTGCCATGACTCGAGCAGGCGCGAGTACAGCCCAGAAGGCAAATGTAATCAGCTTCCCAATTGTCCGGTACAGCACGGGCCACAGTATGGACTGTTTGTTGGCCCTGAATATATTGTAGAGATAAGAGGAAGTCCATATCAGAGCATAGAAAGCCTGTAGGTCGTCTGAAGAATGCACTGTTATAGCCAATATCTCATTCGGCAGGTTTTCTATACTGCGGATGCCTGCAGATTGCGCATTCTCCATGCTCAAGGGCTGCTGGTGCTGCATGTCGCTGATTTAGCAGGTTGTCGTCTCACATATGCTGTTGAGGAATGAGCTGCAGGCTGTGAGTACTTTGAGGTTAGGACCCGGTACAAATCCAGAAACCATCAAAAAATTGCAGAGCTGGTCATACTCAAAGTTCAAAGATTATACGCAAGTTGGTTGCAAAGCTTGCCAAATGTTCATCGAGTCTCAGGGATTGGAGCAGGTTGCAGAGAACAAATTGGAGCGTACTTTCGGCAAGTACCATTCTTGTAGAAGAAAAGAACAATCGTGAAGACTATATAGAGGGAAAGAAACAGTAGTTGCTGAAGATTGTAAGGGCTGGATGCTATTGCTTACAGCAAGAGATGCGTGAACTCTTACCGCGGAGGAGCGCGTTCATAGCCAGCATCACCGCTAGACCCAAATTGGTAACGCGCCGCCGATTGCAACCGACGCGTCCTGATTCTCTGTTGCCCATGTCACCCCCACAGAAATAGTTTGACAATGTCCAGGTAAGTGAAACAGCCCAACCTAACCAGTACAGTCTTCCTTGTTGATAAAGCTGACCGTTTGTGATCTTCTGTGCAGAAACTGTCTCCATGACGAAGAACAATTCACAAGAGCTATCGCCAACTGGAACCGCTTGAGCAGTCTCTGCTTGAAACAGCAGAAACCCGTGCTGGTTCCATATGCAGAAAGTGAACAGAGATCTTAGAGACAAACGACAGCAAATTTGACATGCTCTGCATATTCTTACATCCTGTGTTTGGCACGTTAGTCTCTTGTACCGGGACTTGGATTCAAAATCAACGGTATCAACAACAACCCGACGTGTGGTCGTGACGAAGAAAGGATTCAGTCAATTCCGAGGACAAATCAAGCTTCACATGATTGCTTCTGGCGACAGGGCCGCTGCAGCCTGCGTGAGACATCCCAGTGACGAGTTGAAACAGTTTGTAGTTTTCAATCTGAGAGGCCAATCAAGCGCGAGGTTGTTCAGATTGAGGTGCATTCTCGACATCTAAAGAATCCAAGCCCAGTGATGAGGACCACTGTGTCTAAAAAGCCAAATATCCAAGGCAACCGGCAATCAGTATCAAGCTGACTGCATGGTAGTCGATGAATACCTGAGAGCTAATCTGAGGGCTTGTTTGGATGCACTTTCGGTGGAACTCTGACAATTTGATGGAACATACTGCCTTTTCTCTCTTTCTCTTCATGTTTTTTCCTGTGGTGCATAGAGAAGTTGAACGTGTGTGCTTGTCGAACATGTTTGAAGAATGCACAATCGCTGTTGTTCAACTTAGCACATTCCTTGACCGTGAATCATTCAATCTCGGCCCATTCACGAAGGTTTTCCTCAGTCTACCTCTTAAGTCCTGTCAGCTTCATTGAAGATACCATGCCCTCAAGCATAGCGCAAAGACATATACCTCACCATGTTAGCGCTCGATTCTGCACAGCAATACGCATGAACTGTTGTCTCGAACAGTGCCCTATAGACTGCACATCTCAGGTGCACCATACGCTAGATACATTGTGCTTCGAAAATCGTTGATTGGTCAAGATCTCACGTGACACATTCATGTACAAGAAGTTTTCTGACATAGGAAGAGCTTGTGGTAAAGACCATGATTAGTGCTTAAGTACGGAGTATATTCTAGTACTTTGGCTTTTCTTTTCATTCCAACTTTCTCACAAACTACGGGCACACTATACAAACCGTCAATAAATAAGAAAATCCGCTCGTCTTTCCTAATCCAAATCAAGTCCATATTCCTTGATCAGCTTATCACCTAAAATCATGCCGGTCTGATACGCAGTGCTCTGAGTATGATTGCTGCCTTCATGTTAGTCCGGTGAACTCAATAAAGGTTCAGCCTGTAACTCACTTCACAATAATGGGTATGACAGACATATCTGCAACTCTCAATTTTTCTACACCAAGGACCCGAAATTGGTTATCAACGCAAGCCTCTGAATCATCCTCACGACCCATCTTGACAGTGCCAGACATGTGCCTAGATATTGATTAGCCAGCATAGTCTTTCACAGTACGCTTGCGAGACCCACCACATTGATGAAGCGTTCTGGCGCCAATAGTCCAGAATGTCTTCTTCGCTCTCACTCTTTGGCGCATGAAGCACACCTATAGTGTCTTTTTGGAAAGCCGGACTCTCAGCAACCTCGAGGACAGCTCGCGTGGCCTCAATCGCGACACGTCGATCGAAAGGGTGTGAGAAGACCTTCGGGTGGTAAAGAAGTGGTTGTCTGTAATCAGACGATTGAAGAATGACCTCGCCGGTTGATTGCGAGTTTAACAATCCAATGTACATGTTCGCAAGGGCTGGCGAGTTAAGTGGGTCCACGAAGTATTCTGGTACAGCGCCGTTGAGGACTACCTCGAACACAGGGACGGTTGGCTTCAACAGGTACTCCCTTGTATCCTTCGGCAAGGCTTTGAACTCATCGCTCGCGTAGACCGCGTCGTGCTTGAAGAAGCCGAGTGCTGCGGCACCAAACATTTCTGCAACCGGCCCTGTGCCGTTCTTTTCGAATTCTTTCCTTGCTTCTGCCTGCAGCTCAGGGCTCTTGAAATATTTATGGTGCTCGCTCGTGTGCCCTGCGCGAACCCAGGTGGGAATTACCATATAGTGATCCCTCAGTCCTTTGCCAACCTGTGGCAGGTCCTGTATAACTGAGATCTTGTGCTGCTGCAGGTGCTGGGCTGGACCAATACCGGAAAGCATCAGAAGCTTGGGACTATCGAGTGCACCTGCGCAAACTACGACTTCTTTTGAAGCAAGGTGTTTTTGGCTACTGGCTTGTACGCCTGTTGCCCTTTTGTCTTGGAAGAGAATTCGTTCTACTTGGACGTCAGTCAATATGGTGAGGTTGCAGGGTGCATCCTGGAGCAGATCTGCTGCTGTCGTTCGGTAGCCGTTGAACATAGTCCACGGTGACACCGCCAGCCCAATATCTCCATTGTTCAGGTCCTTGTTAAGCTTATAGCCCGCTGCTTCCCATACAGCAATCAAATCCATCATCGGTTTCTCCCAGACGGGTGGAACGCTAACGTGGAGGGCTCCATTCTGACCATGATCCGATACGGCCGGGTCGAGATATTTCTTGTATCCTTCTGGGGCGTGAGGAGGCATAAGATGATAAGTGATAAGCTGCCTGAACCGTTCCTGCGCTTTCACCCACTTCCAATCATCATCTCCGACGATGTGTGCAATCTCATCGTAGTCGTCTCGGGAGCCATACTGAAAGACACTGAAATTGATCAGTGAGCTTCCACCAAGCCCTTTGCCACGATCGTATGCGATCTGACGATCCCCAAGATGCGTCTGAGGTACTGTCTCGTAGCCCCACGCGAGTGACGGTTTCGTTCTGTGCAACCAGCGATCGCCATGCACCCTGTTTGCCTTGTTCTCATCATGCCCTCCTGCTTCGATTAGTAAAACTTTGGGCCTAGCAGGGCTTGTTGCCAGTCGGGCAGTAAGGGCACATCCTGCCGGGCCGGCTAAGACTACTCAGTACCTACTACAGCAGACGAATCATTTGCTGGGCAGCAAACCTCCTACCACAATGAAGTCGTAAACTTCCATGCTCACATTCAAATTGAGGGAATCACTTTGAGAACCGGTAACGGGGCCTTATCAATGAACAAAAATAAGGGACATTACATCCTAGCTCTCTGCACTATCGATGTTCAGGCAACCTGAGTGATATTGTGCAAGGCCAAGGCAACGAACAGAGAGCCAGCAGAGTGAGGGAATGCTAACTTAGAGGGGGATGAAGATACTTATCTATACCTTACTCGATGTGACGGCCACGAGGTACAGAGCTAAGGAATTAAGAGGGACCTCAGGCCTCGTATTGCCCCAGAATCCACTATTTGTTATTCGGCGGTCCGCAGGATAACTTCAGGGATGATATGCCATGTATGTAGATGGTTCGGGCGCTACACATGTGTGGGGGAAGATCATCCCACGGCAACAACTAGTGATCCGCCGTACATTTCCATGCCAACTGAGAACATCAGATTTTTCGCACCCAAAACTCAAGACCAAAGATTGAATTAGAATCCCGTGCCACAGATATGAAAGCCATGACAGGAGCTCTTCTGTGTTGCTATTGTGGCCATGTAATGTAGTGGACTCGAAATATTGTATGCAAGCCAAGCCCAGACGAGCCCTGAAATGTGTGGTGGCTACGGTACCGAAAAAGGCTCCACGTCATGTGAGGTCAATTGACAACTCTGCTGCAGTAAAAATTGAGCTTGTACCTGTACGACCTGAGATCTGCTCGAACCCGGGCCGATTGAGCGGACAAAGTTGAAGAGCGCGACTTGACAAGGCGATTGGTTACTGGCTGGTGATGCACTTGCCACAGGAGCGCTTTGTAAGAAAGAGCAAAAAGTCACATTTACACTTCCCAGGAAGAATGCAAACGAACCACTCACTACTGAGCTTCTGACGGGTGTAGTGCTTGGTCGCTTACCTTGAAACAGGGCAACTGACCATCTTGCTGCGATGAAGTCGTCTGATCGTGGGGGACTCGTCATCCGCCGAAAGTCTTCAACACCCTATTACCATACCTTCGATACTCCTCCTCCCCGATCGCGAGGGAAGCCTCCCTCTGCTTCTTCCAAATCCTCCACCGCCGGTACCTCGAGCCCGTCCTATGACAGAAATGGACGTCAAGAAAGCCCTCTACCGAAGAGACAAATGGCAATACTGGCAATCATTGCCTTGTGCGAGCAAACTGCGCTGAACTCCATCAGTCCATACTTGCCAAAAATGGCCGCCTCGTTCCCAGAAGTGGACCCTAGCCAGGTTGGGGTATATGTTGGAACTATTGCATCGTCATATGCTCTCGCACAGTTCTTGACAAACTTCTTCTGGGGTTGGCTATCAGACCGAATAGGCCGCAAGCCAGTGATTCTGATGGGGACATTGCTTACCGCAGTCTGTCTGGTGGCATTTGGGTTCTGTAAAACACTATGGCAGGCAATACTCGTGCAGGGTCTTATGGGGCTCGTGAATGGGAATCAAGGCGTGGTGTCTACCTGTCTCGGAGAGATCACAGATCGGAGCAACCAGTCCAAAGCATTCGTCTATCTGCCTGTCATCTATGGGATTGGCGGTATTACTGGTCCTATAGTTGGAGGTCTACTTGTTTTCCAAAGAAATCCTTTCGATCATTCAAAGCCGAACCCACATCCATACCTCGGTCCGAATCTTGCCTCTGCCGTAGTCCTCTTGTTCGACCTATTCATCATAATGATCTTCTTAGAGGAAAGCCTAGAGGAAGCTCGGAACCTTCCGCCACTAGGACAAAGGATGAAGAGTCTCTTTTCTTGGATGTGGCAATTCACAGGCGCTTCGACTCATCCTACCTATGTACGAAAGAATGGGAAGCAAAGTGCTCATGGTGGACTTCTAGCCAGGAATTCAGATAACGAAGAGGATGAAGGAGTTTCGGATGGAGAAGATGAGGGCAATGGAGACATGTCCTCGTCAGCTCTATTCCCTCATCACGCAGGCGAAGAACTGACCCGCAAAGATGTGTTCAACCGCGATACTGTACTTCTGCTTATCACTTATTTAATATTCCAGCTTTCAAATATCTCCTACAATTCTCTGTATCCGATCTTTGCCTCTGGCCCGCCTCCAACGGGACGTGATTTATCAACAGAGGAGATTGGGCTTTCGCTAGCGTTCGCCGGGGCGGTGACTATTTTGTTTCAAATTGGGGTATTCGGCAAGCTCCGTGATAAAATGGGTAATAGATACACATACCGAGCTGGCCTGGCAGGTTTCGTTTTGTCCTTCTTGATGATGCCTTGGGTAGGCTACAAGCAGGTAGAGAATGCAGATGGTGGGATGTCGACAGGCAAGATCTGGCTATGGGCTGAACTAGGCTTCGTCCTCTTACTCAAGACCGTGGCTGCTGTTGGAGGCCTGACGAGTGCTCTTCTTCTGGCAAGTACTTGCGGTTTGTCTTGATGATATGGTTGCTAACATCTCCTCCAGATCACCAATTCTGCTCCGAATCACTCTGTACTCGGCACTCTAAACGGCCTAGCTCAAACACTCTCTGCTGCTGGTCGGGCTGCTGGGCCATTTCTCTCTGGTGGCCTGTTTACTATCGCCACCAAGGTGAAGCCAAAGGGTGAAGCACTCGCGTTTGGTGTATTTGGAGGTATATCTTTTGTCGGCTTTCTGCTGAGCCTCGGTATTCGATCTGAAAAGCTTGAGGCAGAAGGATGGGATGAGGACAGTCAAAGTGACAAGTCTGAAGATGAAGAGGATGGAAGGAATGAATAGCTGAGATGTCTAGCGATTGTACATTTCGGGACCACGAAGTAAGCATAGCGATGGCGATACAGAGGGTAAGCTGCATTTCTAGGTGTTTTCTCAAGATGAGCCGATGTGCTGGGCGTCATCACTCTGGTATTACTTTGCACAGCAAGAAATAGATCCAGAAGCACATCTCTCTCTTCGGCAGACTATTTCTTTTCCCGCGGAAAAAAGCAGTCTTCTTCGCAAGCAGTTTATCCTATGGTACATTTATTTTATGGGACCTCCCATTCTCCATGCCTAACTCATCTTCACTCTGCTTATAGAGCTGATACTTATCTTTGTCTTGCTCAACATGATTTTTCTGCCCACATCAAGGCGATGGCTTCTTCCAGCTCTTGGGCTGCTCATCTTTGTTCTCATGTATAGGTCTATCATTCATGTGCCTGTTTCCGTGAGAACGACACTTCGCTTCTCACATCACCCAGACATACAGTATGGCGTGAAAATATCGCAAGAGGCCGTCGCGGAGCAATTCGTGCCTCCTCGCAATCCATCACAAGGCCATGTTTGGCCTGATCAGAAGTACTATTACACCTACCCAAGTCAATCACCAGGTCACATCAACCCATACCTAGAACCCTTATTGCAATGCCGACGCAAGCCAAACCCGTACACAGATTACATCCGGCTGCCAAACATCGTCCAAAGCGTCTCGCAGCTGTCTTCCCGCGACGAAGCCAGCGATCAGCAGACATTCAATCCCACAATCATCGCCCTCCCTCCTTGGTCTCCGCACCAGTACCTGCTCGTTAGTCGTGTCGTCACCGAAGGCTTTCACCAAGAGAGCCTCCTCTGCGAAGCCGACACCTGCTACACCGGTAACACTAGCGAGGGCCGCCGACCAGGAGAAAAAGACTGCACCGCGGATGACTTGACCATACTCGGAGCAGCAGGAGGTTTGCGCTGCTCGACCCCACCGAGAATAGTCTCCATACCGTCCACTCCCGCTGAGAGATGCGAGGGATCCTGGTCCGCATTTCCGGACATCCCCGGGTTCCACGACCCACGAATTTTCTGGAGCGGCAAAGGCGAACCGCTTATCATGGTCAATTCCGCATCGCGTTACGCATGCGTGGGACTCTGGATCACTGACCTGCGCACCCTTCATGAGCCTCTTAAAGCGCTGCTCGAATCACAGCCGGGACAGCCATACCATCCTGGCCCGCTGATGTCGTATCCCTCTCTCACGGAGCTGACGAGGAACCCGGCAGCTGCCAGAGCCCATGTAGAGAAGAATTGGTTTATGTTCTTTCCGACGCCAGAGGAGGCGTTTCTACACTATGATCTCTCGATTCCACGATCGGCAGCGGGTGAAACGAACAGGACGGTTGGTGGCAGGACGTTTGCCAAAATTATTGGGAATGGATTCACGACTCCGAACCTCACAGATCCACTGGAGCCACCTTGTCTGCTTTATGAGCCAGACACAAGAGGCAAATACGGGCACTGGCATCAAGCATCCAATGCTCTCAAGCTTATCTTATGTCGCCGTGCGGAAGCGGAGAGGGGTAAATGCAGCGAGGAGCAGCAGGACCGGGCGGTACATTTCGCGGTCATGCATCGGAAGTTCAGCAACGAACTTGGTCTGCCGTTGCGATACGAGAGGTTCTTCGTGGTCTGGGACGCTCGACCACCATTCCGCATGTTGGGCATGAGCCGGCACCCAATATCGATGTGGAACGAGACGGCGAGCGGATGGGATGCCGAAGAGAACTGGGCGGAGGAAGACGGTTACGACGATAACAGTCCGTCCGAAAGCACCCACTCATCGCACGGCCCGGCAGATGATCTCGCCAACAACACCACCTCAAACGAGCCCACCAACAGCCAAAACCACGCCTCAGCCGCACCGAACCTCTTACGCCGAACATCCAACACAACCACCTCCGAGATCGCACCCTCCCACCCACCAGCACCACCAAAGCCATCACCAGCCCAACAAAAACCTCGCACAAACTGGGCCTACTTCACCTACACGCCCAGCATAGCCTGGTCCTTCCGCTCCCGCGCGGCAATCCCACCCCGCGACC